TGTGTGTGTGTGTGTGTGTGTGTGTGTGTGTGTGTATGTGTGTGTGTGTGTGTGTTATATGTGTGTAGAAGGAGATGAGTCATCGGGCAAGAGGGGAAAGTTGAAGAGAGTGATTTCCAGAACTCAGGACTTGGGAATAGGCAGCCTGAGTTCCAAAATCTCTGCTGATAACTGGCTGAGTAGGACTATAAAGTTGTTAAGCCTCTCTGGGCTTTTAACATCATTTATGTGGGAATCTAGTTCAGCATGATGTATGGAGTTTCCATGGTTGCCAGGTACCTGAGAGGTGTGCTAGAGCCTCCCCCAGTGATGCTTAAAGGGGGGACTTGTTATTTCAGTGTACCTGCAAGCAAGATGTTCCTAACATCCTGATGGCCCTATGATAACCACTCTCCACAGCCACCAGCCCCACATGATTAGGAGGACCACATATTGGCAGTCTTCCCAGTGCCAGAGCCCCATACAGATTTGGTCATCACTGTCCCCTTATCAACATACTCTGCATAGGCCAGCCTGGTGATAAGTGGACAGAAAAGACACATGGTGCAGAACACAGCTAATGAGCTAGAAAAAAAAGGTTATATGATTTGATAGTTACTGTTTAAATTCCAAGTGTTTGAGACTTGGAGCATGTTTCATTCACACAGCAAGTTACTTCAAGCCTCAAATTATTTCAGGTGCATGTTTTAAAATTTAGCTTTTCATCCTGTGTTGTAGGTGGCTGAGTTTGTACAGTCTCTTCTGGGCTGTGAAGAACATGCCAAGTGCTTCAAGAAAGAGGTAATAAATGGAAAAATTAGATATATTTTTGAACTTCAAGCTAGGCCCAGGAGTGCTTTGCTTCCATCTATTTAAGTGTAAATAAGAGCAGTTGGATGGAGGAGGCGAGAGAAAGGGACCACGGAAAAGCCCAGCAGTGGAGCTTACCCTTACTGTCATAGGATGCTGGGTGCTCCACTCAGACCATTGGGTGGGAGAGTAAGTGCATTAGATAATTAGTGTCTATGGGAGCTGTGAAGGCTTCACGTTGGTGGCTTTAGGGAGCCTTGGGGGAAGGGATGAATTCTCTGCTCTACAGTGAGAGTGAGACTAGCCCATCCCCCTGCCTGCACCTGCTTCAGAATGGATGTAAGAAGCATCCTCATGTGGCATTGCTGCTTCCTGCTTCCTCATGGTTGGTCGTGTCCTCAATTGCTTAGCATTTTTCAAAAGCCAGAATCCATAGTCCCAGGGGCTGCAGAAAATACCGGGGTCTACTGTAGATGATAAAATAATGATGACGATTATCTATCACGTGACCGCTGCAAGCCTGCACTGCGCTGAGCTTCTCACAGGGGTCCTTTGTCCTCTGAACACTGTAGAGGTGGTTTACCTTAGAGGCCATCCTCAGGAAGGCCAGGCACAGTGGGAAGGGGCAGTGTCGTATACTCCCCTCTCAGAAGATTCTACAGCTTCAATTAGTGCTCCAGGAAACTTAGATCCTAGGGAATGTTTACAGCATGGTGTCCCTGCCTGCCCTTTGAGTTCAGAGCATGCACGATTCAAGGGACATCTTCTTGATGTCCTGGGTTCTGAGACCCTCAGAGTCCTGCAGCTTTTGATACCATCCAACAAAGCTCAGTGTTTTTGTGGTTCCACCGGAATGCAACACAGCCTGGGCGGACCTTACCCAGGCTTGCACACAGCCAGCTCTCTTCCCTTAGCAATCCACAAGAACTAGTTTGTCTCTGAGTCTTTCTGTACGATAAATATAAAACCCTTTCTGGGAGTTTTCAAGCTTGATACTTGCTGACCCCCATGGGAAAAATCACTGAACTCTCCTTGCTCCTCTCTATCTAAAACACACAGACTTACGGGATGGGACCTCTAAAGTACACCAACCAATTGGGCCTTAATAAGCAATCTAGAGAGGACCCTCTCCTCTGGGTCCACGAGGCACTGCCTGGGACCCCAGCTTTGCCTCTGAGAAGCTGTGTGACACTGGGAACATCTTTACACTGGACATTCCAGGTTTCCTCATCTACCTCACAGGATCATCAGCAGAGTGAAACACATACAGTAGATTATAGCAGATTCCTGCATCTCCATACACGCTCACTGTCATCTTCACCATCACTGCCTCATTTTTATGACAACTGACCGCCTGGCCAGTGCTTTTTGCCTGAAAATGCAGGTGCTGAACCCAGGTCAAGGTGGGGAAAGAGGTGTAATGACTCTTCCCTGCCTCAGAGAACAGGGAATTGATCCCCAGAAAAGCATCTTATGCTCTTAAATGGCTGTGACTTCATCAGATAATACTTCATAGAGGTAATTTTTATGAACTTTTATAAGTGTTAAGAAGCCTACCCAAGAACCCCAAGTACGTCAACCTTCCATCAAAGGGATCACCACCGTCGAGGAGGCATTGACTATAAGAGGTTCGCGCTGTTGGATTTGGGTGGGTTTGCGTGCATGGCTCTGGTTCACAGAGGGATTGCCATAGAAAACCCTTTCATCCCAGTCTCTGGTTCTGCAGCCAAGAGTCAGCTGACCTAGGTAACTACATAAGTGTGTATATCATATAGGGACAGGTGCCCCCAAGCAATCCACAGAGACAAGCTCTGAGGTCCCTAGGACTCCAAGAAGCTGAGAACCAACACAGTCTACATGGTGACTATTCATCATCATATGACTCAGGAAAGCTGTCCCACATCATGTAGCCGCATGCTTTCCTAACTTAAAAAACATTTAACTGTCAAATGAGGATCGAGCATACTCAAAGCACACAACATGGTGTTTTATACATCTATGCAAGTACCATATGCACATAATTACCACAATGAATATCATCAATACATCCATTACTCCCAAATTTGGACTTGAGCCAAGAATCATTCTCATATTGTTTCTAAATGTGCTTAAAATTAATAAATGAGATAATGTTACATGTTTTTTTCTGTTTAGTGGGTTTTGTTACAGAAAGGAAATGAAGTTATTGGAAAGCTAAAGGGATAATATTAAGATAAATCACTATTCTGATAGCCAAAGATAACTTCTTTTGCTATTGGGGGGTCAAGGTTTCTAATATTTTAGTATCACTTTGTATGTACGGTGTGCATGTGTGTCAGTGTGGACACATGCTGCAGCATGTATGTAGAGGTCAGAGGACAATGCCAGGTGTCTTTTCTGTTGCTCCACTGTGGGTTCTAGAGGTTAAACTCAGGTCATCAGACTCAGCCACAACTACTTCTTCCCCCTGAGTCCTACAGTGGCCCAAGGTTTCTGATATTTCAAATGTGTGTTCATACAGACTTATTTTTCAAAACTAGAAGATCTTTGTTGTCATAATATATATGACTGCTTAACGATTTGTGAGATTGCACAGAGCACAGACTGTTTCATTGAAACACGTGTTAAGGGATTGTGTTGTGTAGCATCCCACATGCAGCTAAAGTACAATTTTTTCCTTCTGTTGCTACAGCATGAGGTTGTTTCCAGTGTTCCACACCCTCAGTGACACCAGACAGAGCCTGCACATGTGGCCTTACTCTCTGGAGATTTACTTGGTGGTACTTTTAAAGCTCTTGGTACATTCAGGCCAAAAAAAAAATGTTGAAACATAACAATGGAAGTCTGTGCTGGCACAAATTAATATATTGAGTCTATATTTAACAAACTGAGAACCTTCTAATTTAATTTGACTCCTTTATTCTGTGAGCACAATGTTGTTGATCTGCCTTGAGTCAAATGGGGGGGGGGGGTGACTCCATCAAGGCCATATGGATTTAGTGTCACACACTGTACCCAGGAAATGCTCCTGGTGGATAAACAAGCTCCAGTGTGGAGTAATTATATTTGTGATTGTTTGTTTATTCACAGCAGATAGATGGCAAAGCCTTCCTGCTTCTGACCCAGGCAGACATCGTTAAAGTGATGAAGATCAAGCTGGGCCCAGCACTGAAGATTTATAATTCTATCCTGATGTTCAGGAACTCCCAGGATGTCACTGAAGATGATGTTGCCTCGGGCCCAGAAGCCAGGAGATAAACATGCTCCTGAACATCCCCCGATACTGGGACTTGTGCCTTCAGAAACAAGGTTGGCCGCCAATGTCCCCATGGTCATACCCTTTAAAGTGTCTGGTTTAGGTGTATGGCAGACTTTGGCAAATGGTGAAATGCCAATGACTCAGACACTTAGGTCCAAGTGTTGGTTTGGGTGCCATCCTTACTGCAACAAACAGACTGAAGAAACTGTCCACATGTCTGTCCTCTACCCTCTCTCTCTCTCTCTCTCTCTCTCTCTCTCTATATATATATATATATATATATATATATATATATATATATATATATATATATGAGAACCACTCTCCATTCTGCAAGCATTAAGTGTCTCAAGTGGTAAAATGCCAGATAATCAATTCATTAATCTATCATTAATGTGTCCAACACAAACACATCCAAGCACAGCTCACATCTATCATCTGGGTGTGGCGAGTCTAAGAGATGGGAGCCTGGTGCTTCCAAGAAGACTCCTGAGGTTTCTGTGCCCTTAACTCAGGAAAGTATGAATCTTTTATAAAGTGCTAATATGCACATTGTTTTCATGATGCTCACTTTTATTCCTTTTACTATTCTTTGGTTATGTTTCCAAGGTGCCCCAGAGCCTACTCCGAGGAGTGTGCCTAGAAGTAGCAGCAGAGTAGTTGGGCATTTCAGGGACCAGATGAGGTCCTCCAGAGAACCGGCCATCAGGGCTGTCTCCGGAGTTTTCTCTAACAACAGCCTTGGCCAATAACCCACTTGAATGAACTCCTTTCTGTCTGCATTCTGATGAAACAAACTTCAGAATGAACTCCTCCCTCATCTGTTGATGCTGGAGCGAGTGTGTCAGGTTCTGGTTTCACCTCCAGAGGCAGGGCAGCAAGGCAGAGGACCTCCAGAGAGCAGCTCAGGATCTGTTGTTTGGCTGAATTCTTCTGACCCGTTCTCAGACTTCCATCATGTTTTAGAAGTGAGTGTGTCTGAGACTCGAGTTGTGAACAGACCACCTCATAATAATGAAAAAGGAGAACCCCAAGTCTACAACTGTTTCTGCTCTTTCACATAGTAGCATTCACAACTGCCTTCCGGGAAGCAAAGACTCCTTCTTTAGGGATGGGAACTAAAGGGGAAGCCGTGAGAAAGAGGCAGATCTGACAACATCTTTCTGCTACATTAATAACATTCTCAATTTAACAAAGTTGATTCTGCCCAGCGAATTTCTCTAACTTTAGGTCACTGAAGAAGAAAAAAACTTGAAAGCATATATATTGCATTCTTTAAATGCTTACCTAAATGTAAATTTAATATACTATCAGGTGATGTAAACTTGTTTCTGTAATGTTTTGTTTTTCTCTTTTTTTTTTTTTTTTGGAGACTTCCACATGCAATAAAAATTCCTGCATCTACTGTTAAAGTTTTAATATATTTTAAATGTTAATAAACACGTAAAAAGCAGCCTCTCTTTGTCTTACTGGATGTGTGATCATAGCCTGTGCCTGCCTTACAGTCTGGGGTCTGTTTCTTTTCCTCAGCTGTGGAAGAACAGAGGTAACTGCCTGCAATGGCCAGCAGAGAAACTTGCTGGTTTTGACTGCTGTGTTCTCTTAGGGAAACAGTTAAGATATTAATAGTGTGAGAGACTAAGTTGGAAAGCTTTTTAATTAATATGGGCTTTATAATTGCTCATTTTATAGAAGACCTGAGACTTGTAGCTCAGATACTTGCTACAGGATAATTCATCAGTAATGCCCAGAATAGAAGAAATGACACCAAGCAGAACTGAGGTTGAACTATCTTTCCTGGAAGACAGTGAGATCAGGTATATAGATAGATAGATCTAGATCTATCTATATCCCCAATCTCAGCATTTCCACAAAGGAAACTCATCTTCCTCCACCTGAGAAAATGCCACCATTGAAGTAGCTAACCAAGCCATGAAGTCAGTCACTTGAGTATCCCTATTCCTGTGGTGTAAATTCTACCACCACAGCATCACTGGGGTAGGAGAGGTACACAGCCAATTCTCACATGCTACTCTCTGCAGGTCCAGTATTCTACAGGTACTCTATGATCCAGCCTGGCTCATCCCTTCTGTCCTCTCTCTCTTTGATGTTTCATGCTAGATTTAGACTGGACTTCTTTCTTCTAAGTTCACCATGCTCTTATTGGTGGTTACCTCCACCATGGTACATCCTGCTTCATAGTAAGCTCAGTATCTCAGTAGTCTCTCTTGAATCTTCACTGTAGGTGACCCCATGGCAAGTAGTAGCTCCTTTTCTATTATATGATACCCTTCAGTGGTATTGCTACATTTTTAACTCTTCTGGTCTCTCTAGAAGATGTGTAGATAGCCTAAGACAGTCATGTTTATTACTGACTCCCTGTGCTGAATGCAATGTCTGGCTCCTAATGGACATACAGCTACATGCTGTGTCAACAAATGAAGCAAGACAATGAAACTTGAATTCCAGCTTTCCATCACCTACATGAGGGTAACACTCCATAAAGTGGAAAATGGTGCCTACATGGGGAATTTTTTTAAATTTTGATTTGGAGAATATATGTATGTATGTAAATGCAAACAACACATAAGATGTTGGTATATAAAGCAGAATGGGTGTCTGCAAAGTGCCAGCTATTTCTTTACATTGGCAGTGGAATAAACTTACTACAGAAAACTCTAAGTTCCTTCCATTCAAGGCAATTTTTTCCTCCATCCACACATGCCTGCCTGTACTTTCCAGAATGACCTGAAATACTAAAAACAGAACTATTTTATCCTACCAAGAGGATTCCCAACATGGTGTCAGGCGTGACACAGTATTCAGAAAACCACAAGTGCAGGGGCTACTCCCTACAGCCTCTCCTCCAAATTCTCACCTAGTATCTGCCTTTGAGTCAGGACGAAAACAGCAAAATTGTCAACAGGACTCCAAGAAATACAAGCATCTATGTTATTAGAAAGGGTTCCCCCACAGGACCATTTGTACAACACAGCACAAGGCCACATCATGATGCTAGCAATTAGATCATTAGCAATAATCCTAAGGGAGCTCAGGACTTCTCACACAGTACTCTCGGAGTGGCTGTAACTTCAGATAACTTTTAGAAAAATAAATTTCTCACTTACAATAACACTAGAACATTCAGAGAGAAACCTATCCTTAACCATTTCGACACACCTCCCCTCTGGGATTAGACACCTGACTTTGTAGACTCCCCTAGAAGGGCAGCCCCAGAGGTGGACCCCATGATAGCATGGGCTTCTGGGTAATGCTAGCTCTCTCTTGCCAAATGATGACTGTCAAACATTCTGGGATTTCTAAGACAACTCAGCTTTGTCTAGAGTTCCCCCAGGCCCTGTGAATCAGAGGTAGGGTCACTAAAGTACAGTAAGGTCACCTGAACTGTGGAGCAAGACCTGGGTTTGGATGGGGTCTGGCACCTTCAAACATTTGCTTGATCTCAAACTGTATCTTCACCTTCTAGCCAAAAACCGATTTTTTTAACATTCATTCATTGGACATTTTTGTTCCATATCATCTTAGGGAGTTCTTCATTTGTGGATGCAACTCATAGAGGGAACTGACAAATATCATTTTGCATGTGAAATGTTCCTGCGAATATATTCTTAGTATTTGAGGATATGTTCTTCATGAATATACTCTCTTATAAATATATTCCTCTTAAAAATGCTTTTCTTATAAATATATGCATGAAGAACATGTTTGCTAATAGATTCTTGAATATTCAGATCCTTATAAATATATTCTTCCTATGAATACATTTATTAATGAATAATATATTAAGAAGAAATCGTTTTTCAAAAATCTATTCTTGATATGTGCCCCAGGTTCCATTTCTCTTATTCCTTCAGTTTCCAGTTGGAGTAGAAAATTGGGATCTCTTTGCCCTTAAAATGATGTGGCAAAGACCAAATAAGCATTGTTCAACTCAAACATAAGATTTAAACAAATAAATTTGGTGACTGAATTATTTGGTGATCAGCAGTTACATTTCTCAATAAAATCATCTGCCTCCAGTGATTTGCACCACATATTCTTTTCTGGAAGATGGGGTATTTTGAATCCAGTGACCAATCAGATATGATCCTGCTGTCAGATCTGATTGTCCCAGAAGGATGCCTATGGAACCCAGGGGACATCCAGATGGCAGTGAAGACCTGACTCATACAGGAAAGGATGATAGCAGAGCAGAAAGCTGTGTGTATTGACACCAGGCATTCTTCTCCTGGGGACCAAGATGGATTGAGGGGCAGTACTGCTGTGTCTCTGCCATAAAGAAAAGGACAGGAGAAGGATTGTGGGATGAGATAGTCTAAGAACAGCCACAAAAATGGGAATGGAAAGAGGAATGAAAAAATGTGAGAAATGACAGTTTAAAACATCGAGTTCACTTACTTCTATTTCATGAGATCAAACTAGTTGTTTGGTGCTATTTCAATGTAGAGGACCACCCATTATTTTCCTCTTTCCTTCACCTTGAAATTAGATTCTGTTCCCTTTGATGTTGAAAGCTAGGCATCAAAGCAAATTGATTCATGAAGAACAGAGTACTAAGAAATCCCAGGTTAAACCCAGAAATTTGGGGGCAGATTGAACTGCAATCTTTGCACTTCAGCTAAGAGCACACGTGTGGAACTCACATAGGACTGTCTGCAATATAGGAACCTCTTTACATTGTGAAATTCTGGGATCTATAAGATATTTCCATAGAGAAAAGTCATCAAGAGTTAGTTGACTAATATTAGCTCAATGTCATATGTTTAAAGTCTCCGGGGAAAGGATGCATTTAACAGGCCCTTATCTATCTCAGCCAAAAGAACACAGGCTGGATAATTTAGAAACCACAGACCTTTTTTTCCCAGTTTCTGAAAGTGAGACATCTGAGAGTAAAACATTGAAGAACATGGCCCATACTGGCAAAAGGTGAGGGCTGTCCCACAGCTGAAGACAGAGGACAAAAAGCAAAAGGCTATAGGAGCCACATTCACCTTTACAGCAGTTCTACACCCAGGCTGATGGCATTTGGCCACTGCTCCCTAGGCCCCACATGCAGTGCTGCCCCATGGGTGATTGGGGGCCCGACACATGATCTGTGAGAGATGTCTTCCAACTGTGGGTTAGAGAGGATGAAGGAGTCCATTTGTCAGCTGGCTGCCCAAGTGGGCATATGGCAAGTGGGTGTCAGAGAAGTATGGCATGGGGAATCCATGGGAAATATTGCCTCTGTGAACAATGGCAGCATGTGGGGTAGGATCTTCTCTACAGCTCTTTTCAAAGAAAAGAAAAGAAAGAGAAAGAAAGAAAGGGAGGGAGGGAGGGAGGGAGGGAGGGAGG